ATTAATACCATGAAAAAATAAAAAAAAATATAATTAATAAAGCCAATCATATTAACTAATTAAGGGATTTGTTGACAAATAGAGTATTCAAACCACACAACAAATTGAAGTGAGAACTACCTCGCAATGTCCTTATTTGACAATCAGCAGTTATCGGATTATATTAGCGGATTTGACCAGCGAATTATATCAACGGTTGGTAAAAAGATATTTGAAAAAATTAGATGTTTAGATTAACATGTAAAATGACCTAAGGGTATACATATATTTAATAATAATAATAATAATAATAATAATAATAATAATAATAATAATAATAATAATAATAATAATAATTGTTTTTAAAAATTAAAAAATAAAAAAAATATAATTAAGCCAATCATATTAACTACTTGGGGGATTTATTGACAAAAAGAATATTCAAATCACACAACAAATTGAAGTGAGAACTACCTCGCAATGTCCTTGTTTGGTAATTAGTAGTTAGTTCTTCTATATTAGTAGATATTTAATATTTTATGCCCTAATTTTTATTTGTTCTCACTTATGTCCCGTATTTGGTTTCAACCATAACTATACAATTATTTTATTGACAATTATAATCAATCTTGACTATATTATCTTGCATTTGTAAACTTAGAATTTCCTATTTAAATACGCAAATTCAACATTCAATTATCTATGAACAATTCTAATATAATCTTGCCTTGATATACTTTAAAGTACTATTTTTTTTAAAAAAAAAAACATTAGGCATTATCTCAATCGCGCAATACGCGTAAAAAAACTAGTATTTATTATAAACAGTATAAGTTAACTTGGAGTCTACTACTACACGCAACCTGTTGCAGCTAAGTAGTGGAGGACCCAGAAAATCATCTGAGTGGGGGCGAATATTAAATGATGTCAGAAATGTCAATAACAAAATATCAAACAACCATAATAAGGTTAAAATACAAAATACATTATAAATTACAATATATTTATGAGAAAATATGAAACATAATCAATTAGATAAAATAATTTGAATAACAATATATTCATAAATACTTTTAAATTTTAATTTCTTCTAGTTAGATCGATTTTTCTAAATTAATTCGAATACAATAAAGTGTATAATAAACTTGTATACTACATTAATTAAATGACTTATAAAAACTAAACTAAAAGAGCATTTAATTTGTTAATTAAATTATTCATAAAAAGTAGACTAAAAATATTTAATTTATCTTATGAAGAAATGAAAGAGAGAAGATAATTAAAAGTGGTGCTAATGAGATTTGAACCTATGACATAAGCCTTTTATAACATAAAATTTAGAGTTCAACCAAATAAGCTACTCATACTATTGGCATTTTTAACATAAATATTGATTTTATATAATATTTCATGCTATATATGTACACATATACATATATATATATATATATATATATATATAAAGGGGTGGGGTGGGAGAGTGGGCGCAGTTGCCCCCACACTGGGTCCGCCACTGCAACTAAGCTATAAAGACATCTAAATTTTGATCAACCAACTAAGCTAACCCCAACAAATATCCATCTCTTGCAAAAATAATATTTGTTTATTCTCATCCTAACACTATAAATATCCCTCATCCCCTTTGCACAATTCATCCGAATAATGCAGTAGAATTTAGAATTCTTCTTTGATCTCCCAGTTCCATTCTACTGTTGTTCTTATTATTACTATTAGCATTTTTTATTTGCGCATCGCAAAAAATAGGTGCCCAATATTAATACATTATATTAAAATTTTAAATTTATTTAGATTTTAGATATTTAAATTATACTCGGGTTGGACTTCCATTTGGAAGATTATGAGTTCGAGCCTCAGTGGAGGCGTTATTGGTTCTTTGTGTTTCAGTAGGTTGAGAAAGTATATGAACAGATACTACAATGTAATAGAACCAGTAACTTTCAAAAAAGATATTTAAATTATTCTAAATAATAATAATAATAATAATAATAATAATAATAATAATAATGTAAATCATTTTTATAAATTTGATATTTATATTTTATGTAATACAGAGTAATTAACATATAACTCAAATACCAAGACTATGTGGTCCAATGGTACCCGGGTTGGACTTCCACTTGGAAGGTTGTGAGTTCGAGCCTCCGTGGAGGCGTTATTAGCTCTTTGTGTTTTAGTAGGTTGAGAAAGTATATGAATAGATACTATAAGAAAATATATGGTGGATGCATGTGCATGGTAACAATAGTGGAAAAGATAACGGAAGTTATAGCGGTAGGGGCATGTTTGTCCAAAATATTTTAATGTACAACCTTTATAGCGTAATGTACAAAAAAGCTTAACGGAAATAACGGACATAAATCAGGGGTATAACTTCCATTCACACTTATTATGTTTTTAGATTTAGATTATTATTATTGTTGTTGTTGTCGTTATTCCCAACAACATCAAATTTTTGAACTACAAAAATCATTTCTTAAAATGAAACCTAGACTGAATCTCTTGGTCGATGGTCAGCAATTTCTTCAGAACTGGAATTAAAAAAATTATATCTTAGTTAATTGTATATCTCTAACAGCTTGAGTCGTTGTAGTATAGTGGTAAGTATTCCCGCCTGTCACGCGGGTGACCCGGGTTCGATCCCCGGCAACGGCGTTTTGCACTATAGCTCGTCAAACAGGAATTAAAACGTCGTCGTATTCTCCATTCACTTAAATGCTTGGCTGACTCTTCACAGTGACCAGAAGGGCCGTAAGCCCGTAATGTATTTATGACTAAAATATTTTGAAGAAATAAAGCTAATAATTTGACCAAATAGTTATTGCATAGATCAAGGTCCAAAAATGATGTTATTTTATTTATTTTTATTTTTCACGCGCCCAATTACAACATATATTTTTATAATTCATAATGTACATTATTCTAAAGCATAATGTACATTATTTTAAAGTATAATGTATATATTACCCCAGATGTTTCATTATTCTAACACGTAATGTATATTATTCTAACACATAATTTACATTATTTTTACTCATAATATTCACGATGATGTTTTTGAACTATGGTGCACACAATAATTTGCCTAATTTGACAATAAAGGAATATTTTTCCGTGGAATGACCGGCAAATTATTTTGTGGAAGATGGACTCGAGTCCAAATGTTCACAATTTGCATACTAAATGTTCACAATTTACATTTTAAAAATTCACAATTTATATACTACGAACATACAATGTTAACATATATGTAATTAATTACCCTGTTTTGTATTCACAAGTTCCTTTCAAATACTGCAGTCGCACAATATCAACATACTCTGATTGTATTCACAAATTTCTTCTACAATTGTTATATGTTTTGATTTAGAAACACAATTTATATTCTAGAAGCTCACAATTCTAAATTATATTCCCAATTCTAATATCTATGGAAAACCGACTTTCATGCATTAGTGAGTAAATGGTATCTAGTGCTTTATTGTGATTTCCAGCATTAGTTATTTCAGTTTGGGTCCATTCAATTTCAGGGTTTGCCACTTGTGAACCGTCCGCACTAGGGGTGTTCAATCGATTAACCGATTACAATAGAGAAATTATAATGCTCCCTACCAGTCATGCCTAATGAAAATTATTCAGAATCTTGTATGTTAGTTCATTCCTCCAAATTAATGTCCTCTAGGAGTGTATATGTTGATGTTTATACATTGTTTCTCCTACATTTGCTGAAACAAACGTAACATGGGATATGAATTTCAAAAATTGTAATGCACTCCATCTTTGGCTTGCTTTAATTTTCATTTAGCAAGGATGAACGAGATATCATAATATCGAATTCACTATTATCAGCACTATAATTCCCTTCTAGATTGTGTAGAAAAATAAAGTTGATAACGTGAAAATAAAGGAATGTTGTACTATAGAATAATTAGTACCCTAGAAGTTAATTTGCCTCTACCACTTCAGGTTCACAACAATTGCATCGCCCCCAAGCTAAGGTTAACACAATAATCTCCATCACTGTGCACCTAGAGTAAGGATTGAAACTTACACAACATTCTTAAAGTGAAAGGGGATAAAAAAGAGATAAGACAATTTAAATTTATCTATTGGAGCTCAAGAGCTATCCCATTTAAATCTAGAACCAAACAAACATGACCCCATATTATTTAAATGAATCTTGGCCACTCACTAATTTAGGGATAGTCGTTGAGAACAACAAATTATTTTTACCTTTGCATTTTCTAAGTGCAACCCCATTAGTAAAAAATTTTTGTCAAAATTTATAGGAAGGAAGAGAGGGGAAAAAGGAGGAAAAAAAAGTTGTTGACAAAATAAAAATAAAAATAAAAAAATTAACTTTTACATGCCTAGCGGGTTACGTACTAGTGCACATTTTTTTTTTTTAATTTATTTTTTATTTATTTTTTATTTTTTAAATGAGGCCTACAAAATTCCATGCAAAATAATCAAAAAATTCTATCTCCTCTCCAACTCATTCTCTCCCTTACACCTAAGAAAAAAGACTTGAAAAAAATCATTGATGAGGATGCCTTAATGAAATGTAATTAAATTCTTTTTCAAGAGTTAAATCTAAAAAGTGATCAAAATTGAAAATTACATCTAAGTATTAACTCAAATAAAAAATTATGTTGTATTTTGTACAATGAGTTAAAAACAAGTAAAGTTTTGATTATAATAACAATATGTCACATCAAATTTTTGAACTACCAAAATACTTTCTTAAAATGAAACCAAGACTGAATATCTCGGTCGATATGCAGCAACTTCTTCAGAACAGGAATTAAAATTTGTATTATAACTGTATAACAACAGGCATTCAAGTCGTTGTAGTATAGTGGTGAGTATTCCCGCCTGTCACGCGGGTGACCCGGGTTCGATCCCCGGCAACGGCGTTTTGCATTATTGTTCGTCAATAAGGAACTAAAACGTCGTCGTATTCTCCATTCCCTTGAATGCTTAGTTGATTATCACTGTCCAAATTCAAATCGGATTTCAACGCCCCAACTTTTTGACGAGAAGGTCCGTAATGAATCGGATTTCAACGGCGACCGCCCTTCTCCGTCTGGGCCGCCGTCTCTTCTCCCCCTCCCCCTCCGCCTCCTGGGCCAAAATCTTGTTTTGCTCGTCCTACTTAACGCGGTTGAACTGCAGTCCTACCGGAATCATTACTCATCAATTTTCGCATTCAATGCCTACCTCGGCGGCCGGTCCACCTTCGCCGACTCCATTTGAGCCCAAACAGGAGAAACCGAAGCCAAAGCCCCAGCCTTGGCTCATTGTCGGCCTCGGAAATCCCGGCAAACGGTTCAACGGCACTCGCCACAATGTTCGTAACCTAGAACCCCTTTCCCATCCTAGAGGCTAGAAACTGAGAAATGTGTTGGATAATTAATTTTCCTTGATCAATACAGGTTGGTTTTGAGATGGTGGATACAATAGCTGAAGCCGAAGGGATATCAATGAGCAGTGTTTCCTTCAAAGCCCTCTTTGGAAAAGGTTACTTCTAACCAGCTCCGTTTTCTTTGAATAATGCATGTTTACTTTTGCTCCTATCAATTGTTATACCATGGACATGGTCTAACAAAAATTATGTGTCTACACTTAACATATTAACAGTTTATGTGTAACTACAAACACATTAACCGTAGACACAATATAAAAGAACATATAATGGTTCTATGGTTCATGTTCAGTTGAGTCACCATGATTTATATCCTCCCAAATGCTCTGTCGGGCCGGGGTGTGGGGCCTTAGGGTTGGGGTTCAGCCTTGGAAGAATATAAAAGAACATATAATGTGTCTGCAGTTATCTTGTTACGTGTATTCAATTTATTTACAAACTCTTAACTGCACATAATATGTTAACTGTAAATACATAATTTGAAGGTTATTTTGAATCAGGGTTCACAATGCAAGGTAGACTCTAATCCAGGGTATAATTTGTCTGTTGCTATGATAATCAATCTTATTGTATTTTAGGTAACCCAAACTTACAGGATCATATTCATTGTTTCTTCAATATGCTCCACTGCCAAAAAAAACCCTAGTATTTCTCCCAATTTAGCTATTCTGTTTGGCAGCTTAGTATATTACGGAGTAACAATTAAAAGAGAAAATGACAAATGGAAAGAATGTCATTGTTATGAAGTCATGTTTCTCAAGTTGTGATAATTTTTTTAAAAGTGTAAGAGGAAAAAGGCTAGTTTTGGTCTTATGATGCATTTCCTTTCGTGGTTTTGGTTTTGGTTATGTTTTTCCAGGTTTTATTGGAGAGGTTCCGGTCATACTTGCTAAACCCCAGACTTTTATGAATTTGAGCGGTGAGTCTGTAAGTTCACTCTTCACCGCGTATCTTTGTTCTGCTCTAGTTTTCTTCACAATATGTGACTGAGAATTTTGGTTTTTGGGGTTACTGTTAACAGGTTGGAGCAATTGTTTCATATTACAAGATTCCACTGAAGCAAGTTCTTGTGGTAAAATATTTACTGAAAGTTGAGTGTAGAGACTAGAATTCTTTTTAACTAAATCTATTCATCTCTTTCAGATTTTTGATGACATGGATTTGCCTTATGCAAAGTTGCGGTTATTGCCTAAAGGTGGACATGGAGGACACAATGGGTAATTTCTAGTTTAAGTGTTTGCCTCAATTAAGGCATACAGTGCATATGCTCATTTATCTGTCCACTTGTATTTATGTTTGCCCTATAATTTCTTATTAGTATGGGTTGTGACTTTTATGGATTTGCATTGCTTGTTTTCCAACTCGACCTGTATCTGGTTCAGTACACTCATCCCTCTTTCATTTTGTGCCTTTAATTTTGATTGGGCGAACTCTGGAGGAGTTTTAATATAATGAAGCTTACTTAGCCTTCTTTCATTTCCTGAATTTATAACTAGAAAAAAAAAGACCAGATATATTTAGACTATACATATTCCCTTAAAAAAACTAAAACTTTCTTTCCATCATCGGTTTCTGAAACTACAGTTATGGATGCATATGTGCATTCCCAATCTGATTGCACTGTTTTCCCTGTTTAAGGATGAGGAGTGTTATCGATCGCCTCAAAGGTAGCCGTGATTTTCCTCGTTTAAGAATAGGTACTTATAAGATAGCTTTAATTTTTACTTGTTTTGCACTATATTGGAGTTGTTTTAGTTATATATGTTTTACTTGTTTTCTGGGTTAGGAATTGGAAGGCCCCCAGGGAGAATGGATCCTGCAAGTTATGTTCTCCGGCCATTTAATAGAGAAGAACGTGCAGAGGTACGTGATCAACATCTCTGCCATTAGAGGCACAACAAAATGTACTCATGTTAATTATGTTCTTTTCAGCTTGATTTTACATTACAAAATGGCTTGGAGGCAGTGAGAATTCTAGTGCTCGAGGATTTTAACAAAAGTGCAACATTTGTTAACAGTGCGAAACCTTTGGAACAATTTAGTTAAGTTTGTTAATTTTACAGTATTCATTTGGGCAGAAAGCAATGAAGGGTCATGGAGGAAGGTTATATTTGTGGTTGGTAGAAACACATCTGCTACTATACACACTATATTGATTGAACAATAGGCTAGAAAAAGGTCTTGTCTTTCATTTTTGGAGAGACATTTTCAGATTATTTATTTTATCACTAGTATTATTCTCAATATGTTTTACCAACCGATATTCAATTCTTTTTCAACGGTAATGCATTGCTATAATCTTCATTGAGCCCCTAAACTCCTTGATCAACTCACTTCCATCACAAAGCATTGCTTTATATTGTTTAACTCTCAATTTGTCTTTTGCATGGTTTTATTACTTTAATATTGTCAAGAGGAGAAAATCCTTCACAAAGCATTGCTTTATATTGTAGTTTAACTCTCAATTTTTTTGTCTTTTGCATGGTTTTATTACTCTATACTGTCAAGAGGAGAAAATAAACAAGATAGATGATACAATGAGCTTTAAGGACCTGTAGACATTTATTATGGACTCTTAGCAAAACAAAGATGGAGGATTCTTTTGGTAAATTATACCACGGTCCATCTTGCATTGTGGATCTTGGTCCAAAATCAATTTTCGTTCATGTGAGATTTGTTGAAAATTTTGGCTTAAATGACATTTAAAGTGGTCATTTTGTGGTATAACTTTCCGTGGATCTTATTTTGATTTGGGTTGAGTTAAAGTAGATTCAAGTTCATGGGTGAATAAAAAATTGATTCTAAAAAATTATTTATGAGAAAATGACACTTTTTCACTGAGTTATATGTTTATAGCACATTTTCCACTTGAATTATTCATGTGTTTACATTAGCTCCTTCAATTATTCTAAAAGTGGCAGTTTTCCCCCTTGGTATATTAAATGGACATTTCTACCCTTAAAATAAACATTTTATTTATTTATTTATTTTTCTTCTCCCACAAATTATTGCTTATACGTATGGATGATAATCGAACCGAACCGGATACTATAGCAATCGAATTGAAAGTTTCCGATTATGATTTAGAATCAGAACCCAATATTTGGGTTTAAGTTTATTAAAATCAAGAATTGAAAAAATTGAATCATGAACCGTGAATCGACGGTTTGAATTGGCCCGTGAATGGGCGGTTCGAATCGGAACAACTACTAGCATTAGCATAAAATTAGAATTATAATATTTGCAAATAGTGTATGTTCTTTTTTGCATTTATTCTGATTCTCACATATAAGTATATATCACTGCTATTTGGTTTTGATTTTGAACTGTCGGTTCATGGTTCGGATCCAGTTTGAACTGCTTGTTCAAACTTTCTTTTAAAATTTTATTTTTTAATTTTTTATTTTTATTAAATAGTCTAAATTCAACAATTAATGTATTTTGTAGTTTTAAAAAGTTTGGTTGTCACTACATTAGTAGCTTGTATGAGTAATGGTTACGTGAATCAGATGTATTTCCACTATTTTGATAATGTTTCATGCATCTGGGAGTTAAAAGAATAGAAATGAAATCGGTTTTAAAAACATAAATAACCTTATACAAAATAATAATAATAATAATAATAATAATGATAAAACGAATGGTATATATATATATGTGTGAGTGTGTGTGTGTGTGTGTGTGTGCGCGCGCGCGCGCGCGTGCGTGCGTGCGTGCGTGCGTGCGTGAGAGAGAGAGAGAGAGAGAGAGAGAGAGAGAATAACAACAACAACAACAACAACAACAACAACAACAATAATAATAATAATAATAATAATAATAATAATATTATTATTATTATTATTATTATTATTATTATTATTATTATAAAAATACATATTTATATTTATATTTGTTTCCCCACTTATCCCACATTGGTTGGAGAAGTGGGGAATGGAGCCTTGAGGCTCCTATAAAAGGAGCATCAAGACTCCATAATTTCAATTGCAATGCCCATTCGCTGGGTAAGCAGATGGGCAGGCTACTTAATTTAGGAGCCAATGCTCTATAATTAAGGAGCCTTATACAGTTAATTTTTTAAAAATATAAATGTAAACTTGATACGGGGCCGTTTTTTTAAGTAAAGAAACGGCGTGCCGTTACAGTTAACTGAGCGTGCATCTTTTGTTGTGTTAAAACTGTAGTTGTGTTGAAATGAAACTGCAGTGTATACAAAATGAAATTGAATAGCAAATTCACATTTTTGAGTGTATATTGCCTAGCGAAACTGTAGTTATTTCAGAATGATACTGTAGTTGTGTTGAAATGAAACTAAATAACATTTTACATATTTGAGTGTTGTGCAATGAACCTGTAGTTGTATCGAAATGATAATGTAGTTGTGTTTTAATAAAACTATAGTGTACATAAAATGAAACCAAATAACATTTTCACATAGGGAGATTTGGATAGGGAGTTGACTCAAATACATAAAGTCCTAATACTCCCCTTCAACCACAGTGTTCAAAGGTGACCTGTAGCTTTCTCTAAGAAAAGAAAACCTAGGACCAGGTAGATATGACTCTCTAAGTTTGCCCATCCGATTGAGGATGATAGACAGTAGACATACTTAATTTGACATGCAACTGTTTGAAGATTGATTGTCATAATTTGCTGAGAAACACCTTGTCCCTATCACTAACAATGTTCATAGGCAAACCATGTAACTTGTAGAAATTTTCCATAAATGCTAGGGCTACACTCTTAGCAGACTAAGGATGAGTAATGACAATAAAGTGGCTATATTTAGTAAGCCTATCAACCACTACAAAAATCACCTCCTTCCCTTAGGATTTAGGCAGACCTTTAATGAAGTCCATGGAGATTCCCTTCCAAGATTGGTCTGGAATAGCCAGAGGTTGCAGTAACCCAGGGGAAGCAACATTCTCAGCCTTACACCTCTGACATATATCACAATTTTCCACCACTGCCTTAACTTCCAGTTTCATTTTTGTTAAGAAATGAAACTCTATATATTTCTCTTACTTCTTTCTTAACTACACACACTGCCATATATATATATATATATATATATATATATATATATATATATATATATATATATATATGTATGTATGCAAAACACGATGTAGAAGACCCTTCACATCCCTACTTTACTATCCATGGCCCTTCACATCCCTTTGGCTTTTCATATGCCTTGGCTCTTCATATCCCTACTTTATTCACTTCTAACACTCCCCTTCAAGCTGGAGCGTAGATATCAATCATGCCCAGCTTGTTACAAATATATCACATGAGCCATACGACTTCACATCTTGAGTCATAACCTTCGAGATCAACACCCATGTCTTGAACCACTTGAACAATCTTTAAACCACGCTATGCCAAATCAGTCCACAACTCAACTTGTTGCACCAACAAAGCTTCCACGAAGCCAAAATCAGGCCAAACACCACAGCGCACTTGCCACTCACACCCCACACCGTTATCAACACTGCCTAACACCACAGCACTCCTGCCTCTCGCACCACAAACCATTATTAGCGCTGCCCAACACCAGTGTTTTCTTGTTTTCCTGGTGCACACAAATTGGTTCATCCCGAACCAATTCTTCTTCAACCATTGACCGGACGCTTTTCGTTTACGGTTTTCTTTTAGGATAGTGTCGTCAAAAGATTCGATGTGCACGGGTCGTGTATGGATAGCAGTGGAAAGAGTTAAAACGGGAAGTAAGAACCACCCCGAGTGTCGTACTCAAGGATGGCAAGTCGGAGTAAAAAGAGTGCAAGACAATCAAGTGTCACAGTGCATTTCAAGAGAAACTAGGTGCAAGGAGTTATGAGAACATGTGTGCAAGAGAGTGTAAGTGAAGAACATAACAAAGAGAATAAGAAAGGAAATAAAAGGAACTATAAAATAGAAAACAGAGTGGATTGGAATTCTCATTCCTTTGTGCGTGTGACGTGAACCTGGGCTAGTGTTGATCTAGTCAAGCGAGATGACTTCCAATGCCGTTCACCGCTCGGTTACTAGGTCTTTCATAGGTGTGGAACCACCTTTCGATGACCACGGTCCTTATGAGCATTTTAACAAACACTTCGTCTACATCTCATTCCGGGCCTTATCCTCTCGGATCTGAGGGTGGGAAATGCAAGTGGATAGGCTTAGAATGTATCGCAATCTCATGCCAATACACTCTTCTCAAAAATCATACATGTGGTGCACAAACTCAAACACAAGTCAAGATAAACACACTACCCGCTAGCAAGGCTAGAGTGTATCACAGTCTCTTGACAATACACTCTTACGAACAAGGCTAGGATGTATCACAATCTCTTGCCAATACACCCATCCTAAACCTTACGCAAGAGCACGCACAACAAATATACAAGGCAATACAAAATCCACTTCTAACACGACATCAACACAAAGCCAAATAAATAGATCAATGCATATTTAGCACAAATAAATGAGATCCAATCCACTACTAGAATTTTAGCCAACCATTATACAAACCAAGATCAAGCAATTAGGAAATAGATGAAATGCAAAAGATTAGCAAATAAGAATAGAGTTTAGATTTCACCCAATCCAAGCTAGATCCCTTCAAATTGGTGGTGAGAAATGAGAGATCCAAGCTATAGCAACTCTAGATCTTCAATCTTCCTTCCAAAGTATCTAGAGTTGAGGCTAAAACCCTAGAAAGATAAAATGTAGACTAGCATAAATCTAAAGCTACATCTAAGAAACTTCTCTCTAGAATTGTTGAAAAATGAATTGAACTCTCCTCTCCCAAAATATGGGACTAATCCTATGCCCCATAGCCCAAACAACATATAAACTAAACTTAATAAGGCCACAAATTATAAAAAATAACACAAAATAACATAAACCCTACTGCCCAATTATTCTTTCTCCTCTTCTCCAAAAGCCAAACCACCGCCTCCTCCTTTGTATGCAGTGGTGGTAGCAGAAGCAGTAGCCTGCACAAGTAACAGTTTGACAACAGAAACAGTAGCAGCACAACTGTCACAGACCTGGAGAACACCGAAACCTCTCACTCTTCACCTAGGTCGACTCTCCTCTTCACGGTGAAACTCCCAGTGGAGTCTCCGTCGAAAAAGGTCGCCGGAAAAAGCCTCACGCGCCCCCACGCACCGATGCGTGGTCATCGGAGCTCCGGTCAGCGGCGGCGCGTAGAGGCTACGTTGGTTGCTCTGCTTCCTCTGGTGGCGTCGCCTCCTTGCACCGATCAATACCCACCGGGCTCTGATACCATGTTCAGAAATAAAACTTTCTATATATTTT